ATTTTGACCCTGACTAGTTAACTAGTGAGACACAAATACCTTCAACTAGCTGACTGGTATGCATTTTGGCCTTTACTAGTTAACTAATGAGCCATTTTTGTGTCAACTAGTTAACTAGTGAAGGTCAAAATGTGTTCACTAGTTAACTAGCGTGTACAGTTTGACCCTCACTAGTTAACTAGTTGACCTGTTGACAAGATATCAGAATTAATGCTCAAGCGGCTGGCCAAATTGGGCAAAGTTAACAAGTGGGATTTTTACATTCAGTAGTCAGCTAGTACGAGTTTTTGTACCTTACTAGTTGACTAGTAAAAACTAAATGTGTTTTAACTAGTTAACTAGTGGACATTGATCTGTCCACTAGTTAACTAGTGAACACACTGAGCAATACTAGTTAACTAGTAAGATATGAAACATTTTAACTAGTTAACTAGAGAGAATTTAGGCCTTACTAGTTAACTAGTTGACATTTAGGCTGTCACTATTTAACTAGTTGACACAAACATGGCTAACTAGTTAACTAGTGGACAGAAATGGCTTACATGTTCATGACAATTCTGGCTGATATCCTGATATCAGAATAAATGCTCATTTGGCTTGCCATATGAAAGCAACTATTGGTCCATCTGGTTGTCCCTGGGTCCTACACTCATTAAGTACTCTGTATTTAGCAACAGAACACCACTGGTGTGAGATGGTAAATGTTAAATGTCCTGTATTTATATAGCACCTGCTTAGGGTTCTACAACCGCCCAAGGCGCTTCACTACACAATCAGTCATTCACCCATTCACACACACACATTCACACGTGGGTGGTGATGAGCTACGATGTAGCCACAGCTGCGCTGGAGTGCACGGACAGAGGTGAGGTCTGCCAAACAAAGGCACCACCGTTCCCTCCGACCACCAGCAGCAGGCAAGGTGAGTTACCTGCCTTGCCCAAGGACACAACAGCAGCATTCTCTGGTCGGAGACAAGATTGAACCTGCAATCTTACGATTACTGAACAACCCGCTTTACCTCCTGAAGATGTTTTCTGCTCAATAATGTTAGAGAAGGAGAAACAGCCTTCAAGGACAAACTGCCAGAGTCCCAAAAAGGAAAAACAGTATTTGAAGTAACAAACAACAAAAGAAAAACCTAGAAAACGGTGCCTGGTGTTTAGCGCTATCTCGTTTCCTCTGGCAACGTGGGTTTCTGGTTCGAGCAGAAGCATCTCAAGGAAGATACCTGAGGGCAGAGGTGAGTGTTCGTAGGGCTGCCACAGATGACTATTTTATTAGTCGACTAATCGCCAGTTTTGTTAATTAGTCGACTAATTGTGCCATGCATAAAAGTATAGCTTATTGCATCAGGATGCTCTAATATACCCATCATTAACTTCTAGTTTGAAGTGAGATTAGCTATGTCCATCTAATAATAAAGACATGATTATAGCTTATCAAATTCATGTAGTAACCTGTTCATACAAATGCTACACAGTCAAATGAAGTCAAATTACACAAAAATGACTTGTGCTCACAAATGCATACAGCTAAAATATCATTTTTGGCTTTGTAACAAACTCGTCACTGTAATGTAGCAGGATAAAATAAATCACTAGTGTTTGTAACATTAGAGTATGTGTGAAATATATACATGTTCTAAAGGTAATAACATCACCATCACTATTGTTGCTGCTACACCTATGAATACAAGGAACTCTCTGTTGATGTTAGCGCTAGCAAGAGGTAGGTAACTTACAGAGGCGACTGTCCCTCTTCATTCTCCGCCATGACTTGTTTCTTTTTAAGATGTTCATGCATCGCCATTGTGCACCCGTGAAATGAGTCTCACTTTCTAAATTTTGCACTCTACTTGCTTCTCTTTTGTCTTTGCAAAATGCTCCCAAACTTTTAAGTAAAGTAGCCGACTCGCATAATGTCTTATCTCTCTGGTGATCCGAAGGCTGATCTGGATGGCAACTACTACGCATCAAGCAGAAAGACAGAAAACAGCAGAAGGTGCCACAACAGGCAAGATGGAGTAAACAACGCATCAACTACTAAATTTATTGTAAACTATTTTGTTTTGTTAGTCTCCTACCATTAACATTAAAAGGTTAGCACAGGAAAATAATCATAAGCCACTAAAATTGGAACAACCACTTGCTGATTCTATCTGCCAATCAGAGGCTCCTATGCTAGGTGTGAACTTCCACCAGCCAATCAGTCTGTCGTGGGTGTGTTGAGTTGGCTTAGCACCAAACTGCACGCCGTTGAGCAGGGCAGAAGAAAATGATCGACTCAGCACTGATAAATTACAGATAACGCAAAAGTAAACACAACCAGCCCACCCAGCCCAGATCGAGCTGACCCAAGTGGAAATGTGCAACAAAATGTTGCTTTGGGCAACTTTAAGAAGCAAAGTAAGAGTGAAATCATGTGGTCAAACGTTGTAACTGCAGTCCATATCTGGGAGAGCGGGTAAAGGAGGATCCATTTCAAACTCCGAATGTCTCGTTAAAGTTGCTATCCGGAGTTTCCCCCTTTCAGGAATTGTGTATGATCTTTCAAAAATATATAGAGATTGTCTAATCATGTCCTCTAACATAATGTAGGAAATACATCTTGCTTTTTTTTTTTTTTTTTTTTGCTAAGCCCTCCCTCTGTCCCCTAGAGCTCAATGCAATATAAACTGAGTGCCAGTCAGCACTAACCAATAGTGTTAGACTAATACTTACATACAGACATTAATTACAGGGCATGCTCTAGCATTTAAGCACGTACCTCGGTTGATGCAGAGTTACAACTTTTCTCATGGACAAGTACGTTTTTAAAATATAAATATATGAATACACAACATAACGTGAACATAACTGTTAAACAATATGTTTTAGCTGTGATTTTTTACCTAGAGGAGTGCGTTCATGAACAAGAGGCATTGCTTTCAGCCTTTAATATAGAAATGAAATTAGGTTGTGATGTGATATGCTTGTCAGCCACTAGATGGTGCAATCTAATAAAAGAAAAACTACAGACAGCTACTTTAATGGAAGAAAAATGCCACAATTTACTAATTTTTCACTCCACGCATACATTTCACATTAAAATTGTGTTGATAGAAATTGAAAAAGTAGCTTGACATATTTTAAGAGCTGACAATTTGCTTCTAATTCACCAATAGCATTTTAAGCTAAATGTTAGCCTCTAGCTTACTTTGCCCGATTTTAGAGTAAAACAAAAAAATGTTGTGACTTCTGAGGGGTGCAAGAAATGGGTCGATCCACAGCACTGGAGCTTTTAGTCGGCCGGTGTTGAATGACAAATGCCTGTGCTGCAGCGTTAGCTTGCTGCAGATTCCGCAACTTATCCCCCTTTTGTAATTTTTTTTATTGGGTTGAGATTGCATGATTGAGACATTAGACTGTTTTGTGACAATTTCACCATATAATTCTTACAAATTGCATCTTTAATACTTTATTAATGATAGATTAGTCAGAAAGCTAAAGCTTGCTTTGTGCTAAACAAGAGAAAAAAATATTTTATTACCATTATGCACTCCTTTAAAAACCAGCATAAAGATCATCTGTTCAGGCCAGATATACTGTTCAGATATACTGTTCAGGCTGTATATGCATGTCGATGGTTCAGGCTGGCTTTTGCATGACCTTCGATTGATTCTTCATGACCACTCTCTTTCTACCAGTTCTGCCTTTCCCACCTCTTTTTAATTCATTTTCTCTTTCCCTTTCCTCACATTTTTAATCACAATTTCTTTACACTTTTCTCATTTTCATAACATTTTAGTTATTTTGGAATCTTTTTCTCTTCTTGTGAAGCTCCTCGTGACTTTTATCTTGAAAGGCCCTATATGAATGATTGTTTATTCTTCTTTGTCACTGATTATTACTAATAAATATACTGAGTTCTCCAATTGTTTGAGAAGAGTCTGGATTCAACCTGAACATTCTAGGAATCTGTATTAATGACCTTTGAAATCAAAGCCATCTGGACTCCAACTGCACTGGACAGTCATGAGGTTTCATTTTCTCTCCTTCTCAGCCTCAATATCAAGCTCCAAGTTTAACTGTGAACTGTGGCCCCCTGGTGATGAACAACTTTTACCCTCTAAACTACATCATGTAGGCTGGAGAAGAGACAGAAGAGGAAGTGTGGCCCAAATCCACAGCTAAGACTCAAGTATAGTGGAAAGGTAAATGCAATAAAAACACAGAGACAGGCTGCTGACATTATATTATTAGGATTTTATAGGCTATGTAAACATGAATTTAAGATGGTCTTTGTCTGCATTAAGCCCAGAATGACATAAATGATTTTTGCCCCTCAATTTGGATGATTTAAGTTGGCGGGATCAGCGCCGAACAAATGAAATGCGATCAATTACTCAACACTTCTGCAACAACTGTGTGCTGTCAAAGGAAAGCAGGTAAAGGAGGATCATCCGGCTGGGACCAAAAATAACGCATCTAAGAAAAAAACCTTCCCGTGTGCAACTCAAACTCTAGAAAATGCGATTTTGCATTTTAGGCACAATAAAGTGATTTGTTGATTTAAAAGGTAAACCATGCAACACACAAGCTGAGCTGACAGGAACACAGATAATATGCCCCACGATATTTGCAGCTTTGTGCATGCCAACACAATTTTATGAATGAAGGAAAACCCGCAACACCATCTCCGATTCACACTAGACATGCTCAAAGTAATGCGTCCCTAAAAACTCTTTATCATTATTTAAACGCCAAAAAGTGAAACAATTAGGCTACAATTTCAAATATATATATACTTCGTTGCCGTTTTTCCCCAACAGTCGGTAAAAAGAAGAAATGTTCAACTTTCTGTAACTCCGCATCCTAAATCATTCAGTCCCCCTTTCTAAAAGCAGCCACGCGTAAAAGAGGATAATCTCCGTGAAGCAGCGGGCTCCTGAAACAATAGCCACTATCAAAGTCATTCATACCCAAATTGTTGTTATCAAGAGATCACAAACAAAATACCTTGCAGCAGTCGGAGTGCCTCCGCGTCGAGGAGCCCAGCAATTTGAGACAGGATATGTGCGCTCCTGAGCGGAATTATTGAACTATACAGCCTTGTGAGAAAATGAGAAAAGTGAAGGAATTGCCCCGTTTCAGGGAGGGGAGGGGACACGAAGTGAGACAGAGGGGGTAGTAAAGGACTGCAGGACTAACCCACATTCCTCAAGAGTTGTTCCAACAGGGGCCAAGCAGCTAAACTCCTGACACGGATTCACCATCAGTCTGGACTGACATAAACAAATAAATAAATATATAAATAAGGGGGAAAAAACACCTTCAGGATGAGAAGACTCTGTGAAGAAAATTTAAAAATCTTTTAATTTGCTTTCTGTAAAATCTGTTAAAATGATCAACCACTGCTTTTTATGGCTGCGGATTTTATTCTAATTATTTTAAAGTGAGAAATTATTGTGTTTAAAAGACATTCTGGGTGTATGAGGTTCCGAATGTGCCAAAACTATTTGTCCATTTGTTTAGTTCACACGTCCACTGCACAAGTGAGTTGACATTTGGGTTAAGTGGTACTGGTGTGTCTGTGGTAACAAATAGCATTTTATTTATACATTGTGCAATAATACATTTATTTTAATTTAATTGTTCTGTAATGTTGGAAAGCTATGGTCTTCCAATGTCTTATCACTTTTGTATAAAATCTTTTTGCCTGAAGCTGGGCGGACACTGCGCGACTTTTTCACTCGTATAGCACTCAGCTTCAGCTCAAACTGTACGACTTCCTCGCAGGGCAGATCTCATGAGCCATGCTCACATGGATGCGGCCTGACTGCTCACACTGTACGTCTGGTAGCAACACGTCGGACCTAAAAATATGCTAAAAGTAGCAGTTTTCACACAACACGTCAGACTTTTTTGTCTTGTTTTGCCTGTTGTCCTTTGGGAGTGCTGCAGGAGGACACACAGGGATTAATGAGGGTTGGATGAGGAAAACGAAATAAAGAAAGTAAATCTGTGTTTTGTGATCAGTTTAATTTGAAATGAACACGACAAGCACGCTTTCTTGACTATCTTTGTGAGTAAAAAAAATATGTGTGGAAATAAAAATTAACAACGTGTGTTATTAGGGAAATAGCGGGCGAGCAGCGTTGATGCAGGATTGCGCATGCACAGTGAGCGATTTTGATACATTTTTGGGTCGCAGCTGCTCGCAGCGCCGCTTCAACAGTGCGATACCCTCACGAGGGACGAGCAAAATATCAAACACGCCAGAAGTCCGTGCGAGCTCACGACTGCTGATCGGTAGCTGGTCACGTGGTGTTAAACGCCTCTAGTAACCCCCTGTACACTACACGACGCTCAGTGCAAATCTCTCCCCAATCTTGTGGATTCTCGCACGAGTGGAAAATCGGCTCAAAAAAGTGAAAAAGTCGCACAGTGTACGCCCGGCTTAAAGGCATCAGATAGGCTGACGAAACAGCCAACAACAGAGATGAGGTGATGAGAAAATGTTTTTTAACCGGCATAGTCAGATGACATCAGGTAACAACATCATTTAACAACATCAGGTAATAACATCAGTTAACAACATCGTGTAACAACATCAGGGAATACATCAAGCAACTACATCATGTAACAAAATAAAGCAACAACATCAAATAACAACATCATGTAACAATATCATGTTTTTAAACTGTTACGAGAATTTGGGGTCATTTTAATTCTGTAAAGGACTTTTAATTTAAAACAGCTGTATAAATAAAATCTGATCGATTGATTGACAACATCAGTTAACAACATCGAGTATCAATACAGTCTGACAGCAGGCTAAAATGACAGAACAAGGCAACATAAGGTGACAATGGCTATACAATGGCTAAAGACTACATGATGTGTTGAAAGGTTTTAATAAGAGAATAAGAACAGGCCGACAACAAGTTTTAAGGACAAAGTAACAAAAACATATTTTTGGCACATTCGCACTCCGAGGAGGCTGTGTGCTGGTAATGACACTCAGCCTCCACAGTACCATTTAATGTTCATTTATTTGTTTATTTTTGAAAATTGACTGAGATATCAACATTTTTGTGTTTTTGAAGGCAGCTGTGGTTGCCATCTTGAACCAAATGTGATGATGTGATTTGCGATAAACAGAAAAAAAAAAGAATGCCATCAATTTGCCACAGCCGTGGCAGCATCAGAGAGCCTTAGGCCGTTTATAAGTAGTCAGACTGTGGCAGTAATGTTGCACAATCATGTACTTTTCACAAAAGATTTTGGTGACATAAGGGGGTATGGGGTGCTCTGCTGCGGACTTTCTTTTATCTCGGACATAACTTGCATTTTATTGCAATTACGGCGTGTCTTGTAAAAAAGCTAATAACTGCAGAAGCTTTTCCGCTTTGCACCTTGCTTTAGGCACAGCACCGTCCCAAAACAATCTCCTAATTCACTGATTGTCTGCTTCATGATCACGTGACGTGTGAGACACACGGGTGAAAAGCAACTTTAGAACTGTGATGTTTACTCTCAAGGTGTGCGAGCTCGTTCACAGGCCTACCCCATTAAAAGACACAAATGTTGACTTTAACCACCTTAGAGTTTCTGCCCTGGGACTGGGAAATCGGGGTTCAAAACCTGTTGGGTCACATAAAAGACTTAAAAACTGGGATCTAATGCCTCCCTGCGTGACACACAGCTTTGAGGTGTTGGATTGGGTGGTTAAACCACCAAATAGTTCCCGAGCGCAGCCAGAGCTGCAGCTCACCGCTCCCCATTGCGCTGGGTCAGATGCAGAGATTAATTTCACAAGTGTGTGATGACGACTATGGGACTTTAACTGTAACTTTACGTCATGTTGGCTCTATTCTGGTGATTTAGCCTAAACTCACAGGTTCTCCTTAAGTGTCAAACTCTCCCAGTACAAACAGTCCTCCCGTTAACCACCTCTCTGGTCCTGACTGACACACGCTTGTGCTTTGTTGCCACAAGTGCCGAACAGGAAGTGAACAAAGAGAGAGTGGCCATCTGGGTGGTATATGAGTGACGACAGCTGAGCACATCTCAGATGTTGCAGCTTTTAAAGCTGATTTCATCACTCAAGTCTTCATGGAGGGAGACTGAATGAACCAGGGAAATGAGGGTGATGCTAATTCATAGTTGCATCTATAGTTTTTGTGCTGGACTATAAAGCGGTTTAGATTATTTACTGTTAAACTTACTTTTGTTATCACATCACAACCTATGATTTGTCTCTGTTTCAGATGAGGCAGCAGCTACTTTATATGATCTCATCAAGGTTTTTAAATTTTTGTTTCCTACATGTTTAGCATAAATGGTTTTGTGTGTACTATAAATGTTCTGCATGTTAATTATCCTGTCATAAGTTCTCTGTGACAGCTAGGTTTGGCTTGTGGTCTTTAAAAAGCCCAAAACTCTTGCAAACATCATGGTTGGACACATATGTTCTTGTGGTTGTTTTCTGGCTGTCTGCAAACCTTGTCTTGTTTAGGATGTTTTGTGTTTCCTTACAGCATGTTTTCGTTATTTGGCTGTACATTTCTATGACATATGTTCCCTCTATAGTAGTTTATTTACTGTTTCTGAAGTGTGTTAATTGTTTTTTTTATTTTATTTTATTCTATTTTATTTATTTATTTATTTATTTGCATTTTGTGGTAGTTACATGCAAATGCTCTTCTGTAAAGTCTTGCCACTATGAATATGTTGTTTATTTAAGTTTGTCTGTAGTTGTTCCATGTCATTTCATTGTCCCATTCTTGGTAATTTATGTTTTTATTTGTTTATTTATTTTTTTATTGCTTTCTTCTCATTTAATATTTCTTCCTACTGTCAACCGCTCTTTGCTGGATGTGTGAATCTTTTAGGATGCAATTTCCTCAGGACTTATTCTGTCATCAATGACCTAATGCTTACTTTGTTGTAATATTCTTCAACATGGTAAAGTGAATTTTTTTTCCACACAACTTTTGTTAATGTCAGTGTTTTTCATCTGGTGCGTGACAAGCCCTACTGAGTCAAACCTGTGAACAACCACTGTCTCTCAGGATGGAGTAATTGTGTTCGCCACCACAAGTACAATCATTATATGTGGCTATGTCTTGTCGTGTGTGTGTGTGTGTGTGTGTGTGTGTGTGTGTGTGTGTGTGTGTGTGTGTGTGTGTGTGTGTGTGTGTGTGTGTGTGTGTGTGTGTGTGTGTGTGTGTGTGTGTGTGTGTGTGTGTGTGTGTGTGTGTGTGTGTGTGTACTGACAGGGTCATAAATACTTTTTTACACCATGAGGTATTAGGTAGATCAGAAGGAATCTGGAAATCCTCTCGTGTCTTTCCCTTGAAATTTCTATCTGAGCTATAAAAAAAAGGAGTTTTGTGGTAACTCTGTTTGTTTTCATGATGAACAACTGTAAGAAATTGCAAACATGTGCATGATGTGTTTTGTTATTCAAATTTACTAAAGGAAATTCAATCCAGAACATCAGGATTTTCTGGGAGAAGTTCCTGTAGTTTTCAGTTATAAGGGAACAAATTAACATTCTTCTCAGATAGAACTATATTTTGTTTGTAGTGACAGAATATTAAAGTATTTTATACAGTATATGTTATACTGTTTCACATTGTGCTGTATGGTATACTTTTGTACCATGTTACATTACATTGTTTTTCTTATTTATCACGTATCATTTTGAATATCACCTTGTTGCGTTATGTTGTCTAGCGTTCTATTGAATTTCATTGTTGCACATTGTACTGTATTGTAAATAAAGTTAAAGTCCCATTGGTCATCATCACACACTGGTGAAGTTAGATTTCTGCATTTGGCCTATCTCCATGGGGAGCAGTGTGCTGCAGCCATAGACATATTTACTGGACAATCCATGTCCATAGGCTCGAATTATAAGTTTTTGTGCCCAAATGGGAGGTTCCCACCACTGCCATTTTGGCTGTGTCACAGGTCCCGTCACATCCAATCAATCCAAAAATGAGATAAAATGGTGGAGCTAAGAGTGGGGCTGTTACGTTTGGAACAGAGTTGGAACAAATGAATCAGTGTAGCTTCGAGCTAACTTTGCTAACCCAAGAAGCTAAGAAGAGCTCTTGGACCAGGGTCTCCCACCTGCACGGTAGACTGGCTCCCATGCGAGGCTGTAGTCATG